TGTAAGGTCTGCCAGGCAGGAGAAATTGAAACGGAACATCACTTCCTAACATCCTGTGAATCCAATGTTAGTCTTCGAGAAAACTTTTGAAATGACTTGGAAAGTGATTCCACCAATGAAACAGATTTAAACGAACACAGTTTATCAGTTGAGATAATGAAATCAACTGATAAAGAAACGGTGATAAAATTATCAAAATTTATCTCTTTATGTTTCGAGAAGAGATCTAAACGCCTTGAAGCTCGGAATGCTGACAGTCAATAGGCTATCGAACTAACTCCCAAACTTCTTCAAACTACATAAATACTGTAAATAGAGTATTCATTTGTAAACTAGGTCTAATTTCTTTATATCAATAACTTCATTTTTATTCCTTGTATTACTCACAGTGTCATATTACCACAAAACATTTTGCATTTGTAAATATTTATAAATTAACTAATAAGCTTTGGCAATACTTGTATGTAAAGTCATGCTAATAAAGCCAATTGTTGCTGTTACTGTTATATGAATAATGGTATAAGAAAAAATTTTCTTAACCGGCAAAATTTAACATTTATTGATCGAAACAAAGGGTTTGACCCATGTTGTAACAGCAATTATTTTGACCTTTTTTTTTAACTCTGCAAAAAAAATTACCCCCCTCCCCCCCGCTCGCCAAAATTTTCGGGAAAAGTAGGTAGTGGTAAAAGTAGGTAAAATTGCCCCGGGCCCCCGAAATTCTCTGATAGGCCCTGGCTACTATATTTTCAAGTACATGAGCTTTGAGAATAAATCGACTAGATTTAGAGTCGCTAGATAACAACGATTCCAAATATATATATATATATATATATATATATATATATATATATATATATATATATATATATATATATATATATATATATATATATATATATATATATATATATATATAAATGTCTAGGTTTCATCAAGTTTTAAAAATTATATCTGGAATTTACTCTCTACCAAAATATATCATTCAATTAATATTTACTATTAATATGACTAAAAATATAAACACTTTAATTATTATGCTTTTTTTCTTTTTAACTGGTGCAGCTACGAGAAGTATTCGAGTCGATTTGGAATCGCCAGATTACAACGAATCCAAATATATATATATATATAATTAAATAGTCTGTTCAACCGTTTCATCAAATTTTTGTTATTACGTCCAGGTGATCTCGGGTTCGTATTTTAGCCAATCAGCGCTCAGAAAGGGTTGTCCGAATGGAAATCCATTTTGATGTATTCAGTCAATTATATCTTTCGTTATTTTTTATGAAACTAGTTGAAATTTTGTAATTATGTTTGGTTATGAGAACTATAGCTCTCACAAAAATATGGAATCGAAATAAAGTATATTACAGGAGATATTCAGTTGTTTTAATCACAAAATGGATTTCTATTTGACAACTAAGTGAAACTTTATTTGACAATAAAGTAAAAATATATTTATTTCCGATTCGTTTTGCAGCATGGACATGCCTGAAATATACTTTTTGACAGACAAATACAAATTTTGGTTGCCGTAAAGCAATTTGTTTTTTCAATATTTATAAACACAACTTTGCCCGAATAAGCCCAGGAGTCGTCTTTAAACTGCCACTTAAGGTTGTTTCTTTTAAATTTCATGTTTAAGGACAAGTTGTACAGTGTAGTGTTTTGACAAGTTGTACAAGTTGTACAGTGTAGTGTTTTGAGTTTGAAAATTGTCTTCACTCCTCGGTTTTTTCGCTAAAAAATAATTATTTTGGACCACGGTCAAGATATCGTAAAAAGCTGCCCGCGCTGTAGCCAATCAGATTGCAGGAAATATATATATATATATATATATATATATATATATATATATATATATATATATATATAAATGATATAAATAATATATATATAAAAGACTTACGTTTGATCAAAATTATCGACGACATTTTGATTCTTTCACATTTTTCAAATCCTGACACTTTTTTCTGCAATTTCTGCCAGGCTCCAGAGCCGTCCACTGCTTGCATCGGAACCCGCGCGTCTGAGTTGGCCTGGGAACGAGGCTGGTTGAGGTATGGTAAGGGGATGTAGCCATAGATATCTTATATAGACCAGATAGCGCATCTCTTTTAATAAAATTGAAGCCAAGAATATTCCAGCGGTTACCCCCATTTGAATAGATGGCGACCATTTGGTGTTTCCCACTCGCTAATAAACGCTTAAAAAAGTACAACAACTTTCATCTTTTGAATAGTTTAAAAATGTATTTGGAATAGATTTAACTTAATATTTAAGTTCCGTGTTTAAGAAATTGAAAACATACGAATCTTCTCATTTCATGCGAATATCATGAGTCTGCAATCACGGCTTCAAGTTTTGAATTGTAGAATAATAAGATGCATTATCTAGTAAATGCAAATACCGCCTGCCCAAAAACTACACATTCTGAGTTCTCCGGCAGCTGGGTGACGGAGCATTCTGGTCGGTCAGAATGTTGATTTTGAATTTTTGATTGACAGGAGTAAAGAATTAGAATTGTTAGTGCTAATCCCCGAGCCGACGTGCGAGGGTACTAATTCCCCACGGCTATTTACACCCGGGGAAACGAAAGCATTTAGCGGAGTCGAAAGCTCATCAAATATCGCGGGCGTGGGTCACTGTGCGTGGGTGGTCATTCTCACTGATCTCAAAAATATGGCGGACTGTCATGAATAGCGGACACTGATTGGTCGAATTTAAAGTTTGCATTATAACGACTGCATGACGACAGCGAAATAGCAACTATTTCTTGATTTGATGATTGATAAATTTCTTGCAAATATATCTCATTTTTGCTCGCATTTTGCAAGATTTTGTAAATTTCAAGAAAGAAAGGGCGATAGAATCGGCTAAAAGAAGGGAGTCGACGTTAACAATGGTAAGTTTGTTTTAAATATTGATTTTATAATTGTTTTAAAACCTGACGGCCTTTGCGTATATGAAACAACTAAACAAGATAGCATATATTAATTTCAGTGTATCTTTTAATATTGATTCCCTTTTTTATTATGTTGAATTTTTTAAATAAAAAAGACAGCAAAGTTATTTGCATGCGAGAATTTGAAATCATTTTATTGCAAACTCAAAGTTTATCGATAAAGCCATTTAATTAAAGGCAGTTTAGTTTTATAAACAACACTTTAAAACGTTTGAGAAGAGTTTATGGTTGAATTTTACCTTAAATTGAAGTTTATATTACGTATAATAACATACCTAACGCATATATGTTTGGGAACTGATTAATAATTTTGTAATTAAAAGTGATATTTTTAGGCGATTTTTCATTTGTAAGAATATTCTTAAAAAATTATCGTGTTACCATGACAACTACTTTAGAACTTCATGTTCGGAAAATACAATGGTTTTGTCACCAAGGCGAGGGTTTCTGCATGCATGTATTTTCTAGTTTTAGAAGTTACTGTTGCCGTATTATATATATCAACTATAGTTATTTTTGTAATTGATACCGATATATCGAGTGATGGAAAAATCACTTTAATCTTTATATATCTGCAATCCGTAATCGCATCGTCTTAATTTTAAGAATGAACAACGAATATCAATCCAATATTTGTTGCTTGATAGATATATGATACCGTGATAAAAGTGCAGATCCGAAGATACAGGCTCGTAAACGACACTCTAAGTAATATTTTTGATAGCGATTGGAACAAGACAATTACAAAGAAGTTATGTCCGAAGGGGCCGAAATTATGTTCGGCGAAATGTATGGCTATTCTATATTTTTGTTCAGATAATTGCGTAATTTGATAATATGCGAACTCGTTTGACTTTCAAAGCCCATAAATCGCTATAATGTTGACATCGACTAAAACTATTGCTATGAATGAGGATATATTGTTACACTGAATCGAACATGGTATTTTTGTCTTCATAGCATTGAATGAACCGAAGATATGAAACGTCAAAGCCGTATATTTGCACTGGTGCAATACGTGAGTTTGACAAATAAATACATTAAGATGGGCGGAACCCATAGATATCTTACATACACTAGATAGTGCATGTCAATTCAAAAATTGAAGCCGTGATTGCAGTCTCAGGTCGTGCCCATGAAATGAGAAGATTCGTATGTTTTCTATTTCTTAAACACGGAACTTAAATATTAAGGTAAACCTATTCCAAATACGTTTTTAAAATATTCAAATGATGAAAGTTATTGTTGTTTTTAAGCGTTTATTAGCAAGTGGGAACGACCAACATGGCCGCCATCCATTCAAATGGGGATAACCGCTGGAATATTCTTGGCTTCAATTTTACTAAAAGAGATGCGCTATCTAGTGTATATAAGATATCTATGGCGGAACCATGCATTCGGTGGGCGGAACCCAGAATGTGTATAGCTTTTGGGCAGGCGATTCTAGCTTCCCGTTCTCTAGTGCCTGTGAATACCGCCTGCTATGCAGCCTAGGGGTAGTGGTAACGTGGACTTGATGGATGGTCTTTGCACTTCATTTGGTTGAACTAGAATGCTGGGTTAATGCATAATCCAAGTTTTGTTTGCTCCAGTTATTTTTCCAATCGAGTCCAGATCTTAGTCTGTATCCTATAGTTCGTGTCAGAGTGCCAATTCTTTAGCATGTCTGTTAATGTCATAACATATCAATTTTCACTCCAAGGGAACTAAAGTCAAACCGAGTAAACTCAGTCTGACAAAATCTAACCTAAGCATGATTTCTCTCCGAATATTATTGGCCGCGTCTTTTGTTGCTCTCAGTGAAGGATCTTGGCCAGACGGTCAGTATTGTTTACCAATGCCGCGTAACCATTCGTGTCCATCGGGATGGGAATCAGGCTACAGGCTCCACGACACAAACGACAACAGCGGTTCAACTTGTTACAACAAAAGATATGGTCACTTTCCGCGTACTATAAAGTACTGCAAAAACATTGCGTGGGGCTTTTGCTGCAAAACAGGGAGCAATTACAGCCACAAAACATTTTGACCAATGGGACAGTATTGTATTTTTCGGCGCGGAGGTACATGCCCTAAAGGATTCGATGAAGGATTCATATTTTGGGATGACGAAGACACCAACAATGCAAATAGAAAACGGGGAAGTCTTCCAGATGGCGTGTATAACAGCGAAACCAAAATTGAATTTTGCTGTCGCAATGATGTTTTCTCGATCAGTTTTTGGAGCATTGTAAAATGCCGCGCTGCGGGAATCAATCTTTCTGGTCTCCCAAGATGCAGAGAATTGATCTTGATGAGACACAAGGGTAGTTGTCCTACAATTTCTGGCTATCGTGGACCCTACACTGGTTACCTTGATTGGGACACCGAAGATTCAGGGAACAAGGATGAGTTTGTTGGTGTATTTCCGGATGGTGTGAGCTGGGATGGGATTAAAATCGAGTTTTGCACATATAGATCGGACTACTCGTGTTAATTTAAACTGTTTAGATCCGGTAAACCTTTCGGCACATTTAAATATATAGCTTTGAAACCATTACTCTAATTATGTAGAGTTTTAAAAACATGTTTGGGAGCAGACGATTTCTTTGAAAAACTTAATTAGATTTACTGTAGTACATTTAGAACTTTATATAGCATGGTAAAGTTAATGTTTTATACCAGACTTTATAGTCTGAAAATATACGTTGTGTTAGTTTATCTTAATAATTACAGAGTTAAACTTATGTTATTCGTTTATTTTTTACAAAATATTAATTCAGTAATTTCTACCAGTCCGGTTCTGACCCCGTGTTCCAGTCCAAGTTTAGTGATATGCCCATCGATGTCAAACACATATCAATACTTAGACCTTAGCACAAGGGAACACAAACTACAAGCAGAGTAAACAGACAACATCTCGTCAAACTATGATTTCTTTCTCTGCATTACTTGTCGTGTCGCACAATTTGTTGTGCTCCAACCCGATTTCTGGTTCTGAAAGCCCCTATTGTCAGCCAAAGCATGCATACCAAACAGGTTGGTCATTTCATTGTTTAACTGCCCCACACTCAAAGGGCACTTTTTGCATCTTCTAAAAACTTGGGGGCCTTAGCCCCCTGGTTCCTATGCCCCTGGTTGACAGCCAATTTCAGATGTGAATAGTGTACTTATCCACTACGTCAGTGTGCTCTGATTCTAGCCCTTGTCTCTCAAACCATGATAACTCAAAGTTGAGCCTACCAATGTCTTGTCTATTTGAAAAGAAACAAAATTTTGTGTAATAGTGATTTACTGTGCATATTAGTATAAATTTCTACAAATTATTCAACTAAGGTAATATATTGTTCTAGTCTTATTGTTCACCTATTATTTATAACCTGTTTTAATAATTATTTTATAACATATGTACAAATTATTGCATATTACTCTTTTGAAGCAGTGCTGTCATTAAGTTTACAAGTAGTTGGCCGAAAAATGATTGAACATTGGAGGCACATGACTCCTAGAAGGGTCTGGGTGCATGCCCCTAACCCTGAAATTTAAACAATTGGAAATGCCATTCCCTGCATTTGGGAAGGTATTTTACACATTCCCTGCATTTTGGAAGGTATTTTACAGAGTTCTTAAGATTACAAAACATCCTATCAAAGCCTGACCTGTTTGAAATCATTTCATCTTTTGTTTTAATTTTGATGTTCTGACTAGAGGAAGTAAAAGGTTTGTTTATTGCTTCACAGTTTTGTTTATATGAACTTTGTTCAGACAGAAGTAGGCAAGCTACAGGCCCTTAATGACAGCTCTGGGTACAAAAACCCCACAAAAGTTCTCACTAGATTATTCTGTTTTATGTAACGGCAAGGTCTTTTTTACTAGATCCACCATACCATTTACTCCTCTGACCAGTGTGATGACCAGCAATGTTACCTGGCTCCAATTGTCGATGTAGAGAGGTGTGCTTTTCTGGGGTAAATTAAAAGTAGGAATAGCACCAGCTACAAGCCTTTTGCAGGTGGGAACTAAAGCAGAACATAAAATATCTGATTACATATACAGTAAGTTGACTTAATTTATACAAGTATTGTTAAGATAGTAATTATAATAAAATTCACAGCAAACAAGATTTATAATAACTGTAAATGGGGCTTTCATACTATGACATGGCCAAACAAAAATCCTGTTACTTTATTATGCCAGTTTCTTGCTACTAGAATAGCCTTTGAATATTGCACTAGAAAATACATGCATGCAAAAACCCTCGCCTTGCTGACAAAACCATTGTATTTTCCGAACATGCATGAAGTATCTAAGTTGTCATGGTAAAACGGTAATTTTTTAACAATATTCTTACAAATGAAAAATCGCTTATAAATATCATTTTTAATCACAATATTATTAATTTCCCAACATATATATCTTGGGTATGTTATTATACGTAATATAAGCCTCGATTTAAGGTAAAATTCAACCACAAACGCTTCGCAAAGCGTTTTAAAGTCATTAGTGTTCTTTAACATAAAACTAAACTGCCTTTTAAATGGCTTTATCAATAAACTTTGAGTTTGCAACAAAATGATTTAAAATTCTCGCTTGCAAATAAGTTTGCTTTCTTATTTATTTAAAAATTTCAATATCATAAAAAAGGGAATCAATATTAAAGATACACTGAAATTATATGCTGTCTTGTTTAGTTGTTTCATATACGCAACGGCCGTCGGGTTTTAAATCCATTATAAAATCAATATTTAAAAAAAACTTACCTTCGTCAACGTCGGCTCCCTTCTTTTAGCCGATTTTTGCGCAGTTCCTTTCTCAGAGAGCTTTTGAAATTTACAAAATCTTGCAAAAATGCCATATGTGAGCAAAAATGAAATATATTTGCAAGAAATTTATCAATCATCAAATCAACTCAAGAAATGTTTGCTATCTCGCTGTCGTCATGCAGTCGTTATAATGCAAACTTTAAATTGGATCAATCGGTGTCCGCTATTCGTGACAGTCCGCCATATTTTTGAGATCAGTGAGGATGACCACCCACCCAACACCGTTGGTGACTCACGCCCGCGATATCTGATGAACTTTAGACTCCGCTAATGCTTTCGTTTCCCCGGGTGTAAATAGCCGGGTGGGAATTAGTACCCTCGCACGGCGCTTCGCGCCGTCGGCTCGGGGATAATACTTTGTTTACTGTATACGAAAATGTTTCTACTGTCCTTAGTGATAGTGTCCTGAACTCATGTATACCTTCATTTTATGAACACAAGGATTAACTGTTATATAAATATGACCTAATGACCGAAACGCACTTTTATGCAAATCATTAATATTTAATATATTTTTCCTGCCCTATGACCATATGGTTAATACAAATTTGATCATTTGATACATGAAATATATACAGTACTTCTGCTATAAAGTTGTAACTTTCAAGCGTTCATTTCGAAATATCAATACCTCTACCAGAGAAAGAAAATAACTTACATGTTTCGGCTGGGTCTTTTCAAAGTGTCTTTCACAAACGTGAAGTGTTTGTTGCGCGATTTGGTTTCTTAAACTTGCATCTATCTCTCGATCCAGCGTTCTTTGTGACAAGCCTCGCCAACTCTTCGCAAATTTTCGTCGATAAATCGTCTTCTTTTGTTGGATTTCAAAAAATACTGAGGTCAAAGTGTTTCCTGCTAGTCCCGCAACCATGTATGGAGCAATTTGCACCTGGTATTTGGATATTCTTTCTGTAAAAGACGTTTTTCAAGTACTACAGCCTCCTCTGTGATACAATCTCCTATTACAAATAGATTTTGATGCACTCGTATTGTCACATGACAGAGAACAATGACATAATTTGGCCACGCCCACAGCTTCCAAACCCTTTCCTCTATTAACTATGGTTGGCCCATGCAAGCTTTCTGCTTTTGACTTGAGAGGATATTTGCAAATCGGGCAAGCACTGATGTCTGGAAGGTTTTATTATACACTTGAGGTGGAAAGAGTGCTCACAGCCTCGAAAAATGCGACACAAAGGACTATCACGACTGCATTCGATCACTGATTTTTAGATCACTGATTTTTTATGGGGCGCCGTTTGTAAAAAAACTCCGCAACATGAACAAACGTATTTTTATTGCGATTTAGGATGCATTTCGTGATTAATGGACGTTTTGTTGCGATTTAATAAATCGCAAGTGCAGTGTCATTACGATATAACAAATCGCAAGTGCACTGTCATTGCGATATAATATATCGCAAGTGCACTGTCATTGCGATATATAAATCGGAAGTACCCTGTCATTGCGATATAATATATCGCAAGTGCACAGTCATTGCGATATATAAATCGCAAGTGCACTGTCATTGCGATATAATATATCGCGGGCTCAGACAGTAGTCAGTTGCAAATTTGTGTCGCCTGCAATCGGGTGGAATTTCCAATAAAGGCGGGAATTTTTTGCCAGCACATCAACAAATATCCAACATGGAGAACACTGAACAGCTAGCAAGAGTAATTTCTGAGGCAGTAACAAATGCCATTCGACGAGCGAGTACAGGAACTGCTGGAACTGTACATGCAAACGAGCAAAATAATGAGGTATTTTATTTATTCCATCGTTTTACCACTTTCATCATTCAAATAGAGGCACAGGGTTTATTTTCATATTCAAATTTTGTGTTTATAATACGGCATTGTTTAAATATCCATATTTTAATAATTAATATTCCTCTAAATACAGCTTAGCTTCATTAACATATAATCAATAATTATAACGTGCAAAATACATTGTTTTAAATGTTTAATTTAGCAAAGCATGGCAAGAGTTAAACAATGTCGAAATCATGATATAGCATTTGGATTGCTGCCCCGCCATGTTTCCCGCTCGGGTCGGTGCTTCCACTTGTGCCAATGAAAATTTATTCAAAAATTAATTCCAAACGTAGATTATCATCAGCTGCAATCAGGTCTATAAATAAATAAATAGATCTGATACAAACCTTAACAAAAGTCTATGCTTTACAACTGTATTTTGGTTGTAAATCTGATTGGTCTATGAGACAAAAATTTTTTTAATCTATCATTTGATTGGTTGATGCTAATTAGATTACTATTCTTGATGATATATTGGCTTGTTCCAGAAAAAATCCACTTTTCCTCAAAAGAGGAAATTTCTTGGATACTAAATATAATCTTTGCTGTGTGTGGAAAGCTGTCACATTAATGTTTGTGTCAAGGTATATTCGTAAACTAGAGCCTGATCTCATGTTACTGCAACCCTAAATTTAGAATTTAAATACTTAGAAGTAATTGCTTTTTCTGTTGTATAGGACCGGGCCAGAGAGAGGAACTCCATTAGACAACTACCAAGTTCATTTGGTGGGTCAATCGTACCAACATCAAGCGGAAAAAGACGTAGAACAAATACTTGTCCAAGACCCAAAATGCAT